AATAATAATAATAATAATAATAATAATAAAGAGAGAAAAGAAAGAATTCTTCTTTGTTTGTAAGAAATTTTCATCAATCAAACAAGCGATAACACAGGTCCTTTACATGTTTTCTTGAGTTCTTCCTGTACTTCTGACATTGTTAAGATAGAACTTCGCAATGATACCAACATTCGGCGGTGACTCTCTAGCAACAATTCTTCAGGATCTATATACCAACCAAAACGTGCATGCAAAACATCTCCCCAACGTGAAATCCATGGAAAATGTGATTTAGACATGATTTTTGCTCCTTGTTGTTTACTTCCTCCAGATAGGGATAAAGAACAAGAAACATTATTCACTCCCATTTCTTTATTGGAAGAGTCCACTAAAGGCGTATTTGTAAATGTAAATGAGACCCCTAGTGAAGTATCTTGCTTTGCCTGACACTCCTCTGTTCGTTGTGCACACCACTTTTTATACGCTGCCCGACGTGCGGAAAATTGTTCTTCCAACATGGATAATTTGTATTGATCGGTGGTAACAATATGTTGCCATAATACAGTAGCCACAATGAAACTAATACGATTAGTAGCAGTAGGAAGAAAGGTATGAATTTTTAATCGTTCTCGACAATCCAATTCTAATTGTCTCCATTGGTGTAACATACGTTGAACGGCACGTTTTTTTCTTCCTAAAGAAACTCTGAAAAATCTTTGAATTGTACGAACAGCTCGAAGAAGTCGTGACATTTTTCGTCTAAAACGTAATCTTTGGCTATAGCGAATATACTCTGAAATAATATTAATACTTGAAGTAAGAACTGCCGGTTGTCGTTGAATAACCCATGCATAAAGTTTAGGATTTGTAAAACGAAGATATACCTCATCTCCTAATGGTTGACGCCATGTATGTTTTACTTTTGAAGGACGATGAGGGGATGTAGAAAAAAGACTTTTAGTCGTCATAAAAGACAAACTATCATCCATTGGAGCAAACATACTTTCCATTCCAGTATGTGCAAATTCAGCTTGTGTACGACTACACTGTGCTGGAGTATTAAGTGCACCACCAATAGTTGCTGAATTTGCACGAAGAGCAACGGATTGTGGTAAAAGCATAGAAAGTGGAAAAGCACGTGTTACCGCTCCAGGAGCACACTGTTCTAATATACCTTGTATAAGACTATAATGTATAGAATGACTTCGAGTTACATTTAGTGAAACATGACTAGGAATAATAGAAAAGGTTTGAACCATACATCCTAATCCAGCCTTTGAGACAGAGATATATTCACGCAGTAGAAACCATACATGTGTTCGTTGTTCACTATTATCCGCATGAGGTTTAAGATTTGAAGTCTGATCTCCTCCTCCTCCTCCTCCTTCTTGTCCAGTTGTTTTCCCAGGTCCACTGGAGTCTGCTCCTAAAGATACACTAGTCGTATTCACTGAAGATCTACTTCCACCTGGTAATCGTAATTGCAAAAGACGAGCCTCTTCTAAAAAAGCCGTACCTCCGAGAAGAAAACGATCTTCCGCATTCCATAACATTCCTGCTGTAAACCTTGGTGGACGTACAGTAACGGCTGCTAATATACCACCATTTGAATCTGGTGGACCATGATACCAAACACTATCCCATTCTGAAAGACTACGGGCACTTTCTTCTGCTACCATTGATTCTAATGCCCTTGGTCCTACTCTATCAAATTCAAGTGTGTAATGACGCATTACATATCGTTTTCGTGCTTGAAGTGTACTCGCTGTTCGGGTTAGTAAATGATGGACTTCACGTAGAACTAATTCTGAAAATTGTCGATGATATCCACTTTCTACTGCTCCTGCAGGATCATTAGAAAGTAAGGCTTCTGCTGCTGCTTCATCTACAGCAATATGACGTAGTGAATCTGGAAATGCCTTAAGAAGAGATTCTTGTAGTGCTTTTGCATCTTTTGCGTCTTTTACATCATCATCATCGCTATCAGAACGGTTAGCGAGAGCTAAATGATTCATACTATAGAAAGAACTCCCAACACTACCTTCAGAAGACTCTTCATTGTCTGAAAAAGTATCACTGGGCGATGCCGTGAAACCTTCAGCGCTAAGGAATCGATCTCGTCCAACACCAGTACCAGCACCACCACCACCAATACTTGTTGTTGCTACGGAACTTTCATCATTGTTACTACCAAGAATAGTAGTGTCACCTCCAGCTCGAGTAAATGTAACATGAGCTGAACCAAATGCCTTTGGCTCATCTCTAGTACTTGATGTTCCTCCTGTAGACACTGGTGCAGTGGTATCACTCAATTCCCCGCGATGCGTATTCTGAGGAGGAGAAACCGTAGGAGGAGGAGGAGGAGAAGAAGAAGAGGGATTGGGATGTTGATGATGACGTGATGGTGATTGTTGCGACCGCATATTTTTTCTTTTTTTTTTCAATATATTCTTCTTTCTTTTTTATTTTTATTTTTTTATTTCTTTTTTGCTTGTTTGTGTTTGTTTTCGCTTTTTCAGAAGCAATAAATGGTCCTTAATTCCTTCGTCGTAGGTATGTTTGCTCTGTCCCCACCTTCAGTCACCCTACCAACAAGAGAGAGACTCACAAACACACACACACAAACACCAGAGATGCAGCAATAGTGCCGCCCCTCCTATGAAGTACAGACAAATAATAAATACCATTTGTTTAAAAATAAAAAAAAACGACAACAATGTCAAGAAGAAGAAAAAGAAGAAAAAGTTTTTTTTGTTCAAAGCAACATGCATGTTGAGTTCAAAATGAAAAAGACACTTGAACTAAAAAGAAAGAAAAAAAAAAAGAAGAGGTATATATATATTTTTTTTAATAATAATAAAACAGTAAAAAAAAAAAACAAGAAAACGTAAATAATGTTAGAATGGATCCATCAAAGAGGGGCGCATTAAAAAGAAAAGAAAAAACGCCTTTGAGAAAACGTTTTCCTTCTTTCCATTACTATCCTCAAGGTCATTTAAAGTTTATGCCTCAATGACCTTAGGGTCCAGCACGGTGATCACATCGGGGAGTGGCTCATCCTGGCCCTTCTTGCTTGTGGGCAGCATGATCTTCACCTTCACACCAATCGTACCCGCACGGAGGTGGCAGTGGCGAGTGGCGGCATCGACAAAGTTCTTGTGGGCTGTGCCGGACTTGATCATGTAGCCATCGCGGAATGTCATGCTCTTCGCCCGCTGGCCCTTTATCTTTCCGCCAATCGTCACCTCGCAGCCCTTCGCGCCGGACTCCATCACATAGCGGATCACACCCATCGCCGCCCGTCGCACCTGCAGGTTGCTGAGCAGTTTGAACCGCAGGGACTCCGCCTGCGCCATCGCGGAGAGGCCCCGCACCTCCACACGCTCAGCGAAGAGTTGCAGTTTGCCCTCCTTGTAGTTAAAGCGCTGCTGCAGGCAGGCGGTGAGTTCGCGGATGCGGCGGCCCTTCTCGCCAAGCACCTCGCGGGTCTTGGTGGCGCGGATGACGATCTCCGTGCGGGTGGGGGTCACGCGGTGCTCAACACCAGCGAAGCCGTCGTCGGCCAACTCCCGCTTCAGGAACTCAAACAACTCGGCGTAGAAGACACCATCGCGGATGATCATACGCTTCTTGGAAATAGGTCCCATGATTGCTGCTTGTTTGCCTTGTGTGTTTGTGTGTATGATGTGTCCCTCTGACAATCCACTGTTAACACAATAATCGGGAAAACAAAAATGGAAAATAAAAAGAAAGAAAAACAAAAAAAAAAGGTGGGAGGAAAAAGAATTAAATAATAAAAACAATAATAGAATAGAGAAGTGAAATAGGGAGAGGTATAGAAATAGATACATATATATATATATATATATGTAAGCCCTAACTCCAAATACCGCTTCCAGAAGTATCATATTTTGTGAAGGCTTTATATGCACTCAAGAATATGAGAAAAATAATTTCAAGTCAAATAACGCATATGTTTATTAACTCCTCCCCGTATATTTCTTTCATTCATTCTTTTTTTTTTTTTCTTTTTCTACCCTTCCTTCGCTTTATTTCCTCATCTCGCCACAGACACTAGAAAATACACACGACCAATATGTTCCTTTACCTAACTCACTCACTCACTCCCTTCTCACCCATACCTATACGTGAGTCGTATATATCTTTCCTTATATTTATATATATTGTGTGTGTGTGTGTGTGTGTCTGTTTGCTGTGAATATGAGAGCCACTTTATCATCTACACCGTATATGATAAAATGACACGGTCACGCATTGGACACCCAGCGGATGTAACAGGGTGTCTGTGAGTAACAGTAAAGCCCAAGTTGCACAGCGCAGCAAGTGTCTTTTCTACTGTTTCTTCGCTTGTTGCAATTGGATCTTCAATAATTAATTTGGCATTGCTTCGAACAGCTGCGATCTCTTCATCTGATTTCGCCATAGTGCAGGGAGCAGTAGCCTGATCAATACGGCATATTCCTTCACTTTCTACCCGTGAAAGTACATCCGGGTGGGCGAACTCTTGAAATACCGCTAGATACATCGATAACTCTTTTGTTTGCAAAAAAATAGAGAGAATAGATACATATAAATTATGTAGAGAACAAAAAAAAAGAAAAAAAATGTTAACAAGTGAAACAGTAATACACATTTCCATAGGGAAAGAAAAAGAGAAAAAAAAAAATATATATAGTTTATAGAGGTAAGGGAAAGAATTAAGAGCCACAGTGCCGTATGAACTAAAGGGTCAGCATTTTCGCATCTACTTTGGTCAGGGAAGAGAAAGCAATCCCAAAGCATTAAAATACATTATTATAATACAATAAAAAGAAAAAAAGATAATGGTATGTCATAAGAGCTTCACATGATAAAGGATTAAACAGCAAGAAAAGTCATTAGTCTAGAAAGGAAGTAGCACATAAGTGATAGATAGATAGATAGAGGGAGAAAGGGAGATAGTGAGAGATATAAGAAAGAAAAAAAAAAAAACAGAGAACCCGTGAGGGTAAAAGATAGTAAATAAGAGGGAATATAATATGATAGAAATAAAGACTCTTACAGACATTAATTCAAAACAATCTCAAGTCTTCTTCAGATTGACTAATTTTCATCCATTTTGATTCCCTTTTCTTTCTTCTTTTTTCTTTCATTTTTTACTATAATTATTCCCAAACATCTTTCAGATTCTTTTTTTTTTTTCTCTCTCTCTCTCTCTCTCTCTCTCCCTCTCCCAATCTCTCCCTCTTTCTCACCTAGTGAGATATGTGGAGAGCATCGGTTTAGTCACCTGATTAGAAACAGTTTTGTCAACATTCGCACGGGAATGTAGAATAAATTGATAAGCAAGATACGGTTTCACTCGCAGTTTCATTGTCATCGTTATTATTATTATTATTATTATTATTATTATGACCCATTCTCAATCCGCCCTACTAATATGGTCGTGGGAGCACAATGGACTGGAGGTGCGGCCGGTGGTAGCCCCGTTACGGTAGAACAGGCAATAGCTTTCACAATACCACAAAAGCCTGTTGTTGCCATCACATTATTATCATCACCGCCATCAGAAGTAAGTCGTTCTTGCAAAATATCACTACTACAGTCAAAACGATCATCTCCTGTACTATTTTCAGAATCATTCATACCACAACAACAACAGCAATAACAACAACACAAACAACAACAACACGGCCATTGTTGTCGTTTAGTGTGGCATTTCTCAAAGATTCCACTTAAAAGTTCCTCTGTATACAGAAAAAGCACAACATTCACTACAGCGGTAAAGGGATACATGAAAGAAATCACCGCTGACAACACCATATGTGCCATGCTCACTGAATTATCTGAATACAATGCTGTTTCTATTAATAATGATGATGATGATGGTTTGGGGTGAAGGGCAAAACGGTCTACTGCACCAAGAAGATACACCAACGTTGGATATACACAAAATACAGAAATACGCCATAATACAATAGGATGATCTCGCAGCAATGAAGGAGAACATCTTCGTAATGCAATATAAGCGTAAGTGGCACTAAAAAAAAAGACTACTGGTGATGCATAAGCTGCAGCCACTTGTAGTAACACTAAACACAACTTATGTAAAGAGGATACATCAGGCGCTAAATTATAACTATTTGGAATCCAACACCATGCAAGTTCCTGAGAAAAGAAAAGTGTATTAGAAATACTTCGAGATGACGACGCCTGTGCATATTCACTCTCTGATGAAATCACTGTAAAATCTGGTACAAATATCAATACAATCCAACACACTAAAAGAGTGAGAGAGGCATAAAGAATAGCGGTGAGATAAATCTTCCACGTAATTCGCCACAGTGTATGTCTCCCTTGTCCTCCTCCTTCCTCTCCTCCTGAGGCTGCAGAGGCGGATGGGGTTGTCACTACACCTGCGGGATCTTCACGGCGAAAGACTAATGATCCCTGCAGTGGTGTGGATGACACCGCAGCCGCAGCCGAAGTATTCATTCGATGTTTACGGCAACATAAAACACATTTACATCGTCTTTTCATGGGTTTAAGAAATACACGAAAGCAAAAGGATTCACCATTATCATTATTATCATTATTATCATTATCATTTTCTTCTTCTCCACTATTGTACTCGCGATTGGTGGGATGGGCAGCATTGTAGGGACGAGTAGCGACAGAGGCTGAACTACGCCCACTACTACTATAACCATGTTCCTCCTCAATAAAAAAAGTTCCACGATTTCTCTCACCACCAGTACGAATAATCGTATCCTCATCTGTAATCTCTAATTCCTCCAGTGAAGTCAGTCGACGGGTATTCGCCAATACTAAAAAAAACGCTGTTTGTAGAACTTGTGTTGCCGCATCTAAGAATTGATGTAAAGAGGCATTTACATTACACATAGTATACGTCATTCCGTACGTTGTTAAGTGCGTGTTGTTACTATTATTATTATTATTATTATTATTATTATTATTATTATTATTATTATTAATATTATTAATATTGAGGTCATGATATTCAATCGGTACTGAATGATGACCACGAATGATGGTCATTAATGCAAAAATAAAGAGTTGCAATGCTTGCAAAACCTGAACCACTACAACAGCAACAAACACGTCATTAAATGCACTTCGAAGAATATTAGAATATGAACAGCAAAAGTAATGGGCAAATAGTACACCCCCAGCCACTATGGAACATCCAGCTCCTACCAAACAAAGAATACTATCCAACTCAATCTGTTTATTGTATGGTAATTCATTATGTCCATCTAAGAAATTCATCTTTTTTCTCTACACAACAAGAAATCTTTGTTGTTATTATTATCGTGGTAGTGATGGTGGTGAAGATAGTAGTTGTTTTTTTTTTTTTTTGACTATTATGAGTTTTGAGAAAAAACAACTATTGTCCTTTTTTCTTTTTTTGATCTTTTTTTTTTTTGTGTGTATGTTTCTGGTGAAGAGAATATATTTTAAAAAAAGAAAAAAACCAAAAAAGAAAAATAATTAAGGCAATGATATTTGCATGTGTTGGTGCACTAGAATATATATATATATATATATATACACCACTATTTATGAAGGATCAAAGAATAAGGTCAACAAGAATGACAAGGCCAGCAATAGCAATCACATAGATAGATAGATAAATAGATAAAGATACAAATAAACCGTGACCACTTCTTTCATCAATGTCTGTATTACGTGTTGTTAAACCAGAATAGCAACAGTAACAGTTACAATAACAGAAACTCTCTCTCTATATATATATGAGTGTTAGTAATAGTTTAACCCCACAACATCACTATTACTACTATTATTAGCTACTTTTTTTTTTTCTTTCTTTTCTTTTACCGTTGCATAGCTTCCATCATAGATGCCATCGCCTCCATCTGCACTTTACGTGTCTCATCCTCATTCACACGCATAGTTGTTAGTCGGTATAATTCATCCCACTTGGCACCGCAGTTTGTGGTACACTTCTTCTCTTCAAGATCGGCATTTAGACGATAACGAATAGGCGCCTGTGTAGTCCGCAGTAATGTATACAATTCCTCCGTATCCAAACAGCGATCAAAGCAGAAAGTAGTGCCGCGATGTAATAACGCTGATTGCATGCGAATAGATCCCATGAGTTGAAATGCCTGAGTGGCATTCTGCTCAAATGAAGTCATGGGAGGTGCCTGAGGTTGCATGATGATGATGAGTTTGTTTGTTTGTTTTATTTTTTTTTTTATTGTTTAAATAGTTTGTTCTTTCTTTTTCCAAGTTTATTATGTTTACTATTAACGTCTTTTTTTTTTTTGTTGTTGTTGTTGTTTAAAACTTCTTTTTATTTCTTCAATCTTCTCTCTCTCTTTGTTAGAAAGGGTGCGATTTCGTATATGAGTGTCTTAACGCCCTCTTCCCTAAAAATTATATATATATATATATATATATATATATTTATTTATTTACGGTGAAGTAAGAGTAATAAGAGAAAAGCAAACCATTTACAGTTTTTAACAAGAGAGCATATCTCCATTACAGAAATAATAGGGAATAAATGAAATTAATAATAATAACAATAAAAATAACAACAATAATAGTAATAAAACAGGTCAAAGAGACACTTTCACGCATGTTTTTTTTCTACAGGAAAACATACACACACACAGAGGTACAGATACAGATACATTCAGTCTCGTCAAGGCATTTTTCAAACAAACAAAGAAACAAAAAAAAAAAAGATAATTCTTCTTGTTTCTTATAATACCCATATTGGTCTCAGTTGACCATGAGTATCAAGAAAAGAAAAGAAAGTCAATCAACCAAACAAACAAAGACAAAAAAAAAAAACACCATATACCTCATTATATATATATATATATATATATATATATTTCTCTTACTTCAGCTTGTGAAAAACTTACTTTTCATATACCTCATGCAGAGTTGTATACATTTATGTATACATATGTCTATCTTTCACTGATAATCATTCCTTCCCGTTTTCCAGTAGTGTCTTTAACCAATCGTATAGTCTTTCCTTTACCCATCACCTTTTTTTTTGTTCCGTTTTTTTTTCTTTTTTTTTGCATTCCCCTTTGTTTTTTTTTTGTTTTTTTAATTCATATCCGGTGAACCCCTTTCTTTATCAGTTATTTTTTTTTTTGTTTTATTTTTTTTTTTCTCTCTTCGTTTCTATTTTTCTTTTTCTTTTGTGTTTTACTGCTTTCTTCTAAATGAAGCCAGATTTTTTTTTTTTTTTGATTTTGATTCTGCGCCTTTTCTCTCATATTTCCTTTTCTTTTTTTTTTTTCTCTCCATTCTCATTTGAGAGCATTTTCATTCACAGTTTACTGTCGTGATTCCCCCTTTTCTCTCTTTTCTCTTCTCTCTTCTCACAACAACAGTTTACTTCTGCAATCCACACCCTCTTTTCCCCGTAGAAAATGAGTTATCTTCATACAGTTTAGAAGAAATATTACTATTAATACTATTACCAGTACAAGTAGTGAGAATAAATAATGGTAGTAGTGATAATAGTATTAATATAATCAAGAGATCAACAGAAATAGTGAGAGGGGAGGGGTGGGTGGTAAAAAGAGCAACTAATCCAAAGAAACAAACGAACAAACACACACTTTCAAAGCCAAATACATCTCAATAATAATAAAAAAAAGAAGGAAAACATTCTTCATTTATTGTTTTTTTCTTATATATATATATATATATATATATTGACGCAAACGAATCCATATTACTATTTGATGAGGAAAGAAAAAGACAAAACAAAAACAAACAAACAAAAGAGTAATAATAAAAAAAAAGTCAGTAATAGACCATTGATGAAGTGTGTAAGTACGAAAGAAGAAAATATATATATATATATATATATACAAAAGGAAAAAAAAGAAGATGGGAATATCATACAGAAAAAAAAAAACACTTTGAAGTTCTGCAAAATCTACAATTGCCTTTTCCGAATTCTGTGTATATGCTTCTTCCTTTTTTATTCTTCTTTTTTTCTTTTTTCTTTTCTTTTCTTCGTTACAAAGGACTTCTTCTTTCTTTTGTTTCTATTCTTTCTCCCTCTTTTTCTTTTTCTTTTCTTTTCTTGTATTGTCTTGTTCATATATCTCTTAAGCACGTGAGAGAACACGATGTGTAAAGCGTACGGCAACAAAACAAGTGAGAAACCACGGAAAGACACCCATCCCACGTATTTCATTCTCTCTGCAATTCACAGCCGTGGGAGAAACAGGAACTCCTCGAATCATATTTTCCGTTACACTTCCATCTCCCATCATACTACTACCACCAAAATTACCCGAAATGCCTCTATTTGTGTGGGCCCAATTGCCAGTACTAACACTACTACCACTACTACTACTACCACTACCACTACTACCACTACCACTACTACCACTACACATTTGTTCTTCTACACTAGAAATTCCCCACATGAATGGACTCAGTAACAACATCATCATCACTTGCTCGATCGAATGCTTAATTAATGGTAAAAGAAGACTGAAGTTGCGAGGAAATAACACAATGGTACCACGGTTTCCATATAAGTATAAAATGGGAATCATAAATCCACAGGAAATAAAGACACCCACCAATCGTGGCAACATACATCTCAGGTAGGCTACACAATACTGCAATGCATCTTCTTTATTATTTCCAGTATATCCCCCTTTTGTTTGTTGTTTATGTTGTTTACAAAAACGACATAATTCAAACCGTTGTTGTCGTACTCGTGTGAGTTCCTTCATCAACTGCTGCGTCTCTCGACACAACTTCCCGTGCAGGTGGAGATGATCACTGCTGTTGCAGAGTTCCGCCTCTGCTCGTAACTGCGCAATGCGTTTCTCCAGCCGTCGCTCTTCCGGGTAAAAGAGAAATGGGACGATACTCCACCAGACAAGAGAGACAATGTAGGAGATGAGTGTACATACCGCAATGAGAACCACTAGTGTTTCATCAGCCACCGTAGAGAAAGAGAAAACCATACTAGATAGATAAAGTGGGAAGGGGAGGGACACAGAGACACTCCTGGGGGGAGTAATTTAGCTACAGTAGAGGAAAAACTAAAAAAAAAATAGTTATGATAATAATAATAATAATGATAGTAATAGTAAAACGTACTAGATGTGGTTAAAAGAAGTGTGAGAATAAAGAATTATAATAAACTACCGCGTTTTCTTTTCTTTTTTTTTTGTGTGTGTGTGTAGAATACTTCGGATTGTGCTTTTGTTTTCTGGTAAATTAGCAGAATAGCTACTAAGACCTAACGAGAACCAAAAAAAAAAAAAAAGGGATAGAGAGAAAAAGAGAAAATAATGGGGACATGTGTATAGGAGAGAGAGAAAGTGAGAGAGAAAAGGGCAAAGAAGAAGAACAACAACAACAAGAACAAAAAAAAAATATATGGTCAAAACATGTAATTAACTCCATGATTTTTGATTAGGATGCGGTGAACTAACAGCAGGCCGTCAAGTAGAGAAAACCCCACCGAAAGGTGGCAGTTTAACATCATAAAATGACATTATCCAGATGTTGTAGAAGTAGTAGTAGTAGTAATATCAAGAAACTTACGGCATTGCCTAATCTCACATCACACACTCGTACGTATATATATATATATATATATTTTCACTTTTTCATATATATATTGATAACGGGATCCTGTTTTAAAAAAAGAAGTAAAAGAAAAAAAGAAAATACTTTTTCTCCCATTCACCCGTCTTTTCGCCTTATTACTTTTTTTTCTATTTGTTTTTCTTTCTTCAAAAAAAAAAAAAAAAAAATGTTTTTTTTTTTTTAATGATTCTATGCGCCACACATCTTCCGTTATGAAGTGTTCGGGAAGATGGTAAAATACCAGTCAGAGGGTCTCTTGCTACTTCTGTTGTTCCAATACTTTTTTTTTTTTATCTTTCTCTTTCTCTCCCTCTCTCTCTATATATATATAAGAATGAGAGTGGGTGTGTAGGGAGAAAGAATGAAAAAAAAAAAGAGAGGAGAGGGACAATAAACAGATGGTACCTTATGCAAAAACACTAGCTACAGAAGGTATGCAATGCCATTATCGTAAAAAACAAACTGGCGTTGATGGAAACTGTTAAGTATATCTTCAACTCTCTCTGCAGCGTCCGCATTGCGATAACCCATTTGTGCCAACTTCTTCACAACTACCGCAGTGGTCACCGGGTCGTATAAATGTACTATAGATGCTACTTTCTGCTCAAGTTGTACCATGGACCACTCTCCATCCATATTATTATTGTTATTATTATTATTGTAATAATTGTTACTCTTATCAGTCTGACGAGATGTCTGTTGCGTGAACACTGCATTGTTGTGGTGTATTTCTAATTCTTCTTCTCCCTCTTCTTCTTCTTCTTCTTCTTGCATCTCTACAGGGTGTTGTTGTTCTATACCCTTTGTTCCTGCCAAAGTATCTCGTTTCTTTCCTGTTGTATTTTTTGCTTGTGTTTGTGGTGGTTGAGTTGCAAGAGACTTTTGTTGTTGTGATCTCGGGGTTTCCACGGTGGAGGAAACATTACCGTCCACAACACGCAACATATCATTTTTACCGGAAGAATTTCTTGTCGATTTCTTTGTAGAAGTTGTTTTTCCAGAAGTCGTAGTAGTCGTAGTAGTAGTAGTAGTAGTAGAAGTAATAGAAGGTAATTTATTCGCATATATCTTTCGAACCATCTCCTCATCACGTTTGAGTTGTGCTTCCAGATGATGAGAACTGGAAACACGTTTCCCAAGTTTCTCACAATGTGTATAGTAAAAACTTGCCAATATACTGTAGTGTATCATTTTGCTTTTACTGGCAGGGAGCGGTATACCTAACATCACACACAACACACGCAGGGCATCCACGTTTAGTTCTTGAAGACTTAAACCTACTACCTTTTCAAGTAATGTACGTAAATAAGCGGCAATAAACTCCAGATCAGAAGGTTGACGAACATCAGACTTGGATGTAGTTGGTTCACTACAACTATTACTGCTGGTAGACACATCACTCTTTTCATTCTCTTTTTCATTTTCCTTCTTTTCATTCTCATTCTCATCCTTACTCTCATTATTCTCTTTCTTTTCCGTTTCTGCTGCTGCTGCTGCTGCTTCTCCTTCTACTTCTCCTTCACGTGGTCGTTTAACGGCTAATGTGGTGGCTTCCATCTCTGGTAGAGGATCATTACTTTTTTCTTCTTTCTCTTTTTCCTTCTTCTTATTCTTCTTAGAATTTGAGGATGGTTGCTTTGGGGCCGTAGCCTCTTCAATGGCGCGACGCCAACGGAGTTTATCCTCATCAGAGGCGGTATGTAATAAACGTAATGCCTGTCCAAATATACCTTTACGAATATCATCTTCTTCACTGCGTGGAGATGGACGCAATCGCTCAAAGGGATTGTTACTGCCACTGGCGGTATTCACAATAGATGTCATTGTGTTCACTTCAGGAAATGTTAAAGGGATTACAGAAAAATAAAAATAAAATGGGAAACTGTTACTCTTATCTATTTTATAGATGTATATGTGTCTTTTTTTTTTTTCTTTTTCTTTTCGATCTATTTGCTCTTTTCTACTAGTTCTGTCTTCTTCTTATTCTACGGCTACAGATGTTATTTCTATCACTCTTTCCTTGTTTGTCTGTTTGTTTCTGTTGTGCTCTTTTTTTTTTTTTAGAGGTGAATGGAGAGAGAGAGGAGTAACACCACTCATAAAAACAAATTAAAAAAAAAAAATAATAATAAACAAAGAAAAGGAAATAAATTCAAATAATTTCTCTCTTAGTTTGTTACTCGCAAACTTATCAGAGTATTTTGTGCAATACCTCAAGGTTCTCTCAACGCTTTCTTTTTATTATATTGTGAAAAAAAGAAAACATTATGAGAGTAAAATAAAATAAAAATAAAAAATTAACACCCAATACACAGAGAAGAGGTCAAGGTTTTTAACTCTACAAAGAACAGCAATATATACACATATATATATATATATATATATATATATATATATATGCTTACCGAGTGCAAAAAATAAGAACAAAAACCTCAGAATAAATAAATAAATAATAATATAAACCAATCGATATACACTTATGCGCAGAGACAGTCTCTCAATAAAAAAAGAAAAAAAAAAAAATAATGTCTCTTTCCCTCTCTTTTTCTCCTTTACTTGTTACTTGTCGTCTGTTGCAAGTGAGCTGTATGCCTCTGTAGTGGCGCCCCAAACACCACCGCGTTCCCGCCATTTGGCCTCAAACGCCATTGTTGTATTCTTCGCCAACACAAGTGCCCGCCGCAGCGTGAGACGCGGTGACCGCCCATTATTATCCTTATCACTATCACTATTACTATTGCTATCATTTCCCTTTTCCTCCTCCACTGCGGCCTCACGCAGGATGGGTTCAAAGGCGGCGCGGTACTCCGCATGATACGCAGCGACGATATCCCGCAGTGCCACCCACAGCGGGGCGTGCAGCACTAAAGCCGCAGCGGCTAAACCACAAGTGGCCCACAACACCACACGCTCCACACGACGCAGTCGTTCACATAAATGCGCAATTACATCTCCGCCGGTGTCTCGTGCTGGAAACGGCATCTCCTCTATGATAGAATAAATACTCTTAGCATTAGTGTTACTGTTAGTGTTCAAATTACCTTGGGATTCGACATTGGTATTACTATTGGGAATGGAAAGAAAACGACAGAGTGGCTCCCAACCATCACCGTAGCGGTACACTAACAATCGATCCCGTGGCACTACTGTTCGTACACGTGTCTCAAACGCCTCTAATGCGGCCGCGGCACTCTCCATTGTATTTCCCTTTATACTTGTTAAATTTCCATAAACTCTTTTACCTTCTTTTATATTTATATTCGTTCCTGTCATACCTGCCGTCATCTTTACTACCATGGCGTGAAGATGTACACCCGCACGCCGCCGGGATGCCCGTTCTGTGTGTCGTAATAATGGTCCCCACAACGCGGCGGCATCCCGTGCCCATGCTTCCTTATCCGGTTCCTCCACTAAAATCACACGCGTACTTAATGGACACTCTTTCAATATAGCTTCAAAAGCTAATGTGCATGGTGGGCCAACAAGTGCATCAAATCTCACATTATGCGTTCCAGCGTCATTTTTACTCGTAGAAGAAGAAGAAGAGGAAGTTCCACTAGGGGCAGGATCGAGAATAGCAGGATTGAATGGTTTCTTCTTATCTAACACCATACACCACTCTTGCGGGTGTGTGTCTACACGACCTCCAGTGAAGGTGTGTTCAAAAGTGTATGGAGTATATCCCAACTGCTTGAGAGCCTCCGTCATGGCCCCACCACCAGGTATCATCGTTAAACACAGTACTTTGGGTGGGGCATATAAACAAAGACTACGGCGCCACATATAGGCTTTTTTGCTTTTTTTTTTTTTTCTTCGTTTTCTCCTTTTCTCTCTCTCTCTCTCTCTCTCTCTCTCTCTATTGAGGGTTGCTGTTATGATTCACCTCTTTTTTTGTTTGTATCTTTTGCCTTTTTTTTTCTTTTTTTTTTTACTTTTCCTGTCTTATCATTCCTCACAAACGGAATGAGAACACTTAAAATGTAAATGAAGTTTAAGGGAGAAGTAAAAAATATATATACATATATATTTATTTATATATGAAAGAGAAACACCACTCATATATAGTAAAAATGAAAACAGACATTTCTCAATAATTCCAATCAAAAGGTTAGTAAAGACAACAATTATTGATTTTTCTTACTTTACACGTGGGAATATTTTTTTGTTTTGGCATTTTAGTTAGGTGAATAAAGAGGCAAATAAAAAAAAAAAAAGTTTTACTACCACTACACTCTAACTAAGCAACCAACCATTTCTTCGTTATTAATCTGATCTAGAGTGTAAAAATCGGAGTGACTCTATCAAAACAGAAGGTTCTGTATCAGGTGGCACAGTAAGAAGTAAATGAGAAGAACACTTATCATCATTCTCCACATGAGCACTTTGAATCATTTCTTCCAGTACTCTCTTCATACTCTTCTCACGAAAAATCATTTCCATCTCATGCAGACAAGACAATTGCTCTGTAGAAAGTCCTGATAGTAATAATTTACGTCCTTTAGCCCCAGCTCCCAATAGGCGTAGCATATCATCTTTATTATTATCTCTGCTACTAGAGCAAAATAAACGTAAACTACCTCCATCATGAAGTATTTGCGTTTCCCGTCTCTTTTGTTTTTTCTGAGAGACTACATAACTAAATGCATGTTGCAAAATCGAAGGAGGAATCTTACTTATGGTAGACTGAAGATCCTGTTTTAAATAGGAAGGTGTAAAAAGAAGTACATCTTTTAAATTTCCATTACTCTGAATAAATCCTTCATTTAAAGAAGCTAACCGATTCTCTCTTTCCAATTGTGTAGGAGAAAGAAGAGGCCACAACGCATTTACAATTGGAAGTGACTTTAAGGTTGACAAAAATGGTTCATCTCTTATTTCATTCTTACTATATATACAAGTAGAAATCCAAGCTTGTTTCCATGCATTAAGAGAAGCAGGATTAACACATGGTGCTGTACAAATGTACTGGGCTTGTGTACGTTGTGCAATTTCCCCTAACAACTTCCAATAAAGAAGGACATTGTGTTGCTTGGACATTTTATTCCATTTCATATCACTTTGATTTGTGAGAAATACACTTGTTTGAGGTTCTTTTCTTTTTTCTTTTTGAACTTTTGTAGTTTTATTCGTCACATCATTATTAAATGTCTGCTGCAGGAACTGTGCTAACATTATAGTTTCCTCCTCCTTCTTTGCACTCTCATTTTTCATTTGAAAGGATTCTTGTTGAGCTAGAAGCATATCTGTAAACTCTTTGGTAGGCATATCAAGGGTTAACATATTAGTTTCCTTTAAATTTTTTTGAGATTCTTTTACCATTTCTGTAAAGTGATTACCTTTGTCCTTTGAGATTCGTTGAGAACTTCTCTCCATTTGATCTTCCATCCACGTAGTTAACTTATTCTTCTTTTGGTATTTCTCTTCTTTTTCTTCCTCTTTTTCACTAATGGCATCTTTTCTCAGTTTCTCCATATCTTCATTCCTTTCATCCTGTTGTAGAAGAGTCAAAGACTGTAATGAGGAACGCACATCCACTGAAAGTCCCACAGAGAATCGATGAAGAAAACCCTACTGTAGAATCCATGGAAACAATTCCGCTAATGAAAGTGATTTACACTGTGAAGATGATATACACATTCCCCCATTACGCTGCAGAAGTAACTGCCAATTTTTTAACACACTATTCCTATAAGAAGGATGTATTTCCTTAACTGCAGATGGTATATTTGGGTGAGGTAGTTCTAACAATATATTCGTACATCCAACACGATGAAGTGTTTCAAATATACCTTCAACATAAGACATTGTCATTTTATTCGTCCTTGACAAAGGTAATGCTAACACCAAAGGCATTATTGGGAGAATATGAGTTGTCAACTCACGCAGAAAATATAATGAAAGTTTCATTCTCTCTTCTGTCCAAAGGTTTTCATCCATGACTCCCTCACTATACCGAAATACCATATAATCCACTTTCATTGACTCTTCAACATTGGAGGAGGAAATAATTACATTCTCTAAGGTTTCAATAGTCTGTTTTAAATGATGTTGGACTTCACTGTATTCCGTAAAGGCCATGGAAGAAAATGGAAAGAGATTAAATTGCAGACCAAGACTCTTGTTATTATTATGTAATGGTAATTTATTCATATGTGATGAGGCCTTTTTTTCTCTGTTTGGATGTAAAGAAGAGACGTGAGATCGGGCGGTTGTAGAACCGCGGAGAGCAGCAATTCGCGATAATCTCATCGCAACACATTTACTAAAAATAGAAAAAAAAAATGACTGAAAAATAAACGTTAAGAATTGAGAGACACACCTCTGTTCAATGTGTCTCTTCTCACTCTTTCGTAATTGATGGCTTTCTTCCTTTTTTTTTTTCTTCTTATTTTTCAATCCCACTTCCTGCCTTGATAACGGTACATGGGAAAAATGCAAACACAACAAAAAAAAAATAAGAAGAAGTGAAGCAAATATGAAAACCAAAAAAAAAAAAGAAAAGGAACTAAAGCAGCATAAACAAAAAAAAAAAAAAAATAAGAATAAAGTGTACAAATTTTTTTTATTCTTTTTTTTTTTTTAACAGCAAATATTTGCGTTAAGGTCTACTGCTACCGAGTCACAAATACACTCAAGACAATTTGAAGACGCAACAATAAAAACAAACAAAACACAAACACACTTTAGCGTTCAATGAAAGATATATCGATTCGGTTTATTTCCTTTTCTTCTTTTTTTTTTTTTTTTTCTTTTGCCTAAAGTCGTGTTTGTTTCCGTGGTGAATGTCCTTGAATTAAATGAACACCTCCAGATGATACTTGTGGACGGGTTTCCTCCTTCAGTCGCTTAGCAAATGCATAGCGTGCCTTTAATGCTGCCATTCGACGTTGTGCCGGACTCATTTTTTCGGACGGTTGAGTATTTTTTTCTTCAGTGTTAGAATCTGGTGTTTCTCCATCTAATGATGATAATGATGATGTCTCAAGAGGACGGGATTTAGTTCCAATACAACCAGAGGCTAATAGTTTCTCTCGAAGAGCATTTCCATCAATCATAGTTCCCTTTTTAGGGGTATTACCAGTAACCTCTTCAGAGGCATGAAGTTGATTATTTAATCGTTCTAACCACTTATCAGTGGAACCAGAAAATAATGATACTTCATCACCTGTTTCAATAGATGAGGATTGTGGCATTTTTGGAAGTGCCAACTGTTCTTTACCCATCTTCTCTTGTTCTCTTTTTTCTGCATACTCAGTGAGTCCAACAGCATCACGAAGATAACGTGTTTGTTCCACTTCCACTGTTGCAAATAGTACTTCTATTCGATAATCCTTTGACACACGTGTAGCATATTCAAAGGCATGAAAAGGTTGTTCTGTCCTCTTGTATCCCATTTTATATTCACCAAGACAAGGCTGTTCTACAATAAAGAGAGAACGTGGATTCATATGTATTCTCGGGAACCATGGACAATTTAAGTGTTGAAAATGCATTACGGTAGTAGAGACAAGATTTAAAATACCCACATAAGGACCTATAGTAGGTGGTTTTTTATGTACTGGGTATCCAGAGAAATTACCTATCATTTCACTCACTTGACAGACATTAGGTGGAGATGGAATAAGACCAAGATGGAAAAATCTCGCTAATACAAGTTGAAGAGTTGGGGCACGATTCATAGCAAAAGCTAAAGTATCTTTACCAGGTATACCAAGTTCTTTTTCATAAAGATTAACGCAATATCTAGTTTCTTCTGCTACATAAGCAGCACGACGATCTTGCAAAAGATGAAGTAATTCATCACATATACGTGCTTCTTCTTCCCTTGTAATCATACCTTGATATCCTGTAAGACCTGATAAGAATAACTTTCGCATTCCATAAGTTGATCTTGAATAGCCTATACTTTCATAGTTAGGTTCCAATAAATCCCCTTCAAATACATCTGTGTATGAACCTTCATCCTCCCGTTGTCGACGTCTTCTTTCATCTATAACATGTTCAAGATTTCCACTACCATTTTCATCATTATTATCATTATCACTTTTAGCAGTATCCTTTTCCACCGTAGTTTTCCCTTCTACAGAACTTGTTGCTGCAAACTCACACACACCTTGTTGCCGCTTTCGTGCCACTGTCCAAGAGTTATTACGTCGTCGTGAATCCAGCTCAGCACCGGCGAGGACGGCATTGTAGAGCACCGAGTCTGTTGGAATCGTCGTGCAACTCGCGTTGGCGTGAAAGTCTGCGGGTGTGCGGCCGCCGGTGTCGATGTCCTTCTCGCCGCCCGGTGTGAACTCCACCACCGACGCGGCATTCCGTTCGAGTGCGGCCTGCAGCCACGCGCGGCGCTCGTCGGCGGTGGGCGGTGCGGCGTCGTAACCGTCCGCGTCAATCGGCGCTGGGCGGCGGGGGAGGGGAGCGAGCCACTCGCCGGGCACCGACTTCCCACTATTATTATTATTATTATTATTATTATTATTTTTATTACCTTCTTCTTCTCCTTGTTGTTGTTGTTGTTGTTGTTGGTGTGCTTCTCGGAGGGCGCGGTAGTGTTCACGCTGTGAGAGACCACGGGCCACACCAGCGGGTGGGGAAGTAACGGTGCCATTATTATTATTATTATTATTATTATTATTTCTGCTGTGATGTTGAGGCGTGGCTCTATTGTTTCCTTCACGCATGACGAACTGCCGCTTCCGCCGGGGTGCGACTGCCGTGCCGTTGAGAGCCGCCGGCCCCCACTGCAGTCGGCGGAGGGACGAGAAGCGCATGGCTGAGACCCCGCAGACCCCACAGTCCTATACACAAAGATATATATATATAAAGAAAAGAGAAAAGAATAGAATAGATGAGATAGAATAGAAGAGAGGGGGAAGAAGAAAAAATGAGTGTGATGAAAAGGAAATAATAAATAAAATAAAAAAAAAAACAGAGAAAAAAAATATATAGATTCAATAAAAAGGAAACAAAAAAAAAAAAATGAATAATTAATTGTATAAACAAATAACCAGAGTAAATGATAGGTGGATTAATGGAGGTTCCAGAATAAGCAAGAAGTAGGAAAAGAAGAATAGTAATATGTAAAGGAAAAATAATAATAATAATAAAAAAGAAAACACAAAGTGTACAAAATCTATCCATTTATGTGAGTCAGATCAACGGGGGTAACGTCACATTATCATCATCTGTATGTTTCTTTTCATTTTTCATTACCTACTCGAAGAAAAAAGTTCACCATACTATCATCATCATCATCATCAATATCACCATCATTATCAGCATTCGTAATATCAAACAATGAACTTGATACAAGTATTCCTTCTTCTCTTCTTGGTGGTAACAGGGATTTACGCAACTGCTGACGTCTCTCTGATCCCATCTCACGTAGTGCATCTTTTATGTTTATAACCCGTTGACGCACACCACCAGGATAAGCAGAAGCTAATTGTCTTGATGGGAGTACTACTCCTAGTGGGTAAGATTTCTTTTCTCGGTGTCTCTCGTTGTTGTTTTCTTTTCCTTCCTTCTCTGTCCTGGAGAGAAAAAGGGAAACGTAATAATTATCACCACGTAAAGACTTCCATCTATTATCGCTTAGTAATATGTGATGTACAACACTACCTAAAAGTTGTAAACCTTCATATGATTCAGATGCTGTCAAAACGATATTATTATTTTCCTTATCTTTACTGCAGCTCTCTTCACTACCACTTGTAATATTACTATTACTACTATCACTATTAGCAGTATTACTTATAGAAGACTCTGCTTGTTCATTTTCACATGCATTTGACTCAAACGGATTTGCAGGTATCATGCGATTAAACATTACATGATGCCAATCGCTTAATGTGTTATTTTCATTCTTAGTAACAAAACAAGGAGCACCATTTTTTCGTCTCCACTCTTGAATACAATTCGCAGTTACACCATTTACTACCAGTAAATTACAAAGACTTGTCAATAATCGTGGTGTAAAGAAAGAAAGAGTTTCTGTTTGAGTGTTATCCACTACCGTTTTACCCTTCTCATTTTTTATCTCTTTATAAATTGACTGTTGAAAAAGAGAAAATAAACATACCAATAAAAGCTCCAAATCTGGACAACTATAAACGAGAATAAGAGAAATTCGTTCCAGTAAAAATGGTGGAAGTGCAGTACATGATAATGATGATGATGATAATAAAAACTTTTCTCGAAGTGAACTCTGAACGATACGCCAATGATGTGCTGTTGTACTCAAGGAAGGTATACTATTTCCCTCCATAGTATCAAGATCATCACTCTCACTATTGTTATTTTCTCTATTATATGTATCTCCAATATCATTATCATTATTATTATCATTATCAGCAGCAGAAATAGTATTACTGATACCAGACTCATGGTCCGTTCGTTTCACAGTATTAACACCCACACCTGTTGATTCCGTCTCCAATACCCAAAAAAGAAGTTGTAGTAAAGATACATACAAGTGCACTGCAGGTGCTGGATTCCAACGTAATTCACTCTGAAGATTGGAAAGAAAAACATTATCCGCATCTATTGTCTCATCTTCAATACGGTGCATATATGGGGAAAGATAGACAACGTGTCTGTAATCATCATGGATAGCAATTGCAAGTGTTACCAAATGTGAGAGTACCATCTCAAGAAGTGACCAACCACCACCACCACCACCAGTATTCATTATATTATTATTATTATTATTATTATTATTATTATTATTACCAATCCCATCCTTGTTGTTATTGTTGTTATTTTTATTTAAAATAATAGAACGCTGTTGGGAAATAATTTGCCATGCTAATGAACCACTTCCAAAGGAATAAGGTGAATTAACTGAAGTTTCATTCTTTGTCTTATCACTTCCCCAAAGTAAACCAATGAGAAGTCGTTCCATCGCTGCTCCTTCTGTTAATTGTTGAAGAAGATGTTGTTTTTCACCAACAAGTGCTTGAATCCCCTGTATTCCACTACGAGAAAGACAAGTAGCACAACAACGATGTAAATATGATGCCACACTTAATTGACAAAATGGAATTATATCTTTTTCTAGACATTCTACAAGTTGAAAATGATATTCCTTCTCTTTCTCTTCTATTTCTTCCTTATCCTCAGTGGTTCGTGCTGTTAACGTTGTTCTTGTTAGAGTTAATGCTGTTTCACCCATAGATGATAAAAGTGATACGAGTCGAAGAAAAAGAAATATAGAAGGTTGTGAGGCTTCGGCAATAATATCTTCACGACTTCGCCGTTCATTTAAACTCATTACATCTTGAGAAGTATCTGGAGATAACATAAGAAGTGATGTGTGATCTCGAAATATATTACAAACACATTGTTGAGCCGCATCTATTTCTTCAAGAGCGAATCTAGCGCTATCGGTTACTTCCTGTGAAGTCATAAAAACAGGTACACTAAGTTGAGAGGCGGAAAGACTTGTTCCTTGTCCAAATAATTCTCTTTGTTTCCAATGTAATTCATTTACTATATGTTCTTTAGAAACTGAACTGTTATTATTTTCCAAAATAGATCCAGTGTTATCTGTATTTGAGAGTTTACAGTGCGCTGTCACGAATCGAGCTTGTAATCGTCTGGAAACACGTGGAATATCACCTAACGCCTTCAAACATGTGATATTATCAATACTATTATTATTATTATTATTATTATTATTATTATTATTATTATTATTATGAGAATTGCCACTAGTCATCCCTTGTTGTGCCAAACATTCTAAACGCCACCGGTATAATCCCTCTTCCTTTCCACAAAAAGACATTCGATGTGTACCCAAAGAAGATACCGCCGCCTCTTCCAGTGCTGTAAAAGAAAGTAATGTAGTTACGGTATTCCCTGCATGAAATACATGTGGAAATTGTCGAAGTAACTGCAGGTGTATTTGTTGCCAAAGGAACGTACAATTCCCAGGACGACGTGCAGGTGAACCGTGAAATACCCCAGACTCCTCAAAACAACGAAGTACTGTTGTGAAGAGAAGTTTAGCCCAACCAGGCATCTCCTCACGCAATAAAGTATTAATATTAGTATTAGTATTAATAGTAGTATTAGAAGAAGAAAAAGAATAGGAGTTATCATGATAAACATGTGGATTACATGCACGTTGAATAAATAACATATACTCTGCACGAATGGAATTTACTAAACGATTATATGAAGCCCCACCACGAGTTTCTCGCATGAAATTTGTTGCATGCCGCTCCAATAAAGCCGCCGCCGCAGCAGCTCCAATGAGAACTAACCAATCACTATATTTTTCTTTAAAAGTATGAAATTGCAGTCCAGTCGTGGAGAGAGATCTATCCATTGACTTTTCATAATCATAAGCAGTACTGTTCATAGTGTTATTATCATTTCTATGAATCCCAACAGTGACAGCAACACTATTATTATTATTATTATTATTATTATTATTATTATTATCACTATCATTACCACCACAAACTGTCATGTATACACCTCTAAAAATAACTTCACGCATAATAAATTCCTCCTCAAGAGAAGATTCACCAATTCGTATGGCCACCATCAGTACTCGTGTAAAAAGTGCGGATGATATTAAATACTTCTTGTATGGTACCTGTACCAACTGCTTGCTAATCACATCCCACTGTGAGGCTGTAATCGCATTCCGTTCTCTTACAATTTCCAGCAGAGATGATAATTCCTCTGTTGGATGTAATTCCATTTCAAGTGGAAAAAGATGTGGATTATGTCGCCACCAACGTCGAAAGAGTTCCACCGCCATTCGCTCTTGTCCTTGCCGTACAAGTGTCTCAAAGGTGAGATGAAATGTATACGCTGAGGTCTGTAGTGTTTGACTTAATCCTCGTCGTAGTGGTTCTAATGTCGTCTTTGCCGCCTCACTCATCTTTACATTACTATTCCCAAGTACATAGGCGAGTAGTGTTTCTTTTGATAGTGTTAAGAATTCATTTTCACAAAGTGGGGTTTCCTCCTTGTGATCTTCTATTCGTACCTCATCTGAGGTTCGTGTGTACACATCTGTAGTAGATAGAATAGATGATGTTTTTTCCGCACTATCACTTATCATAGATCCATGTTCTTGAATTGTTTGAATAGAATGACGTACGAGGCGAACAATATCAGATGGTATGAGAGGTTTTTTCCTATTGAATATTTCCTCATCTCGTGTATTTCTTCTTCTTCTTCTTCCCATTGGATTTGTACATTCCTCATCATTATTATCATTATTATTATTATTATTATCATATCTATTATTTCTTCTCTTCTCTCTATTATCTGTATTCTGTTGTTGAGTTCTACTCTCTATATGAGTTGAAGGTGTGTTATCCCGCTTTTCTTCTCCATTGGTGGAGTATAAAACCGCATGTTTGAGATTTGCAATCAAATGCCAAGAACGTAATGTATTTAAAGATGATTTCACTTGTAAAGATTCATCCTTCCATTTCTTTCCCACATAGTGAGTACTATGAGAAGTATGAGACTCACCATCACTATCACTATTCTTATTATTCTTATCACGTGGTAATCGTAATTGTTCTTGCAATTGTAGAATATGTTGATGGGAATAATAAACATTAGAATCTTTTTTAATATCTTCAAAATACGTGGGGAATAGAGAGGCAAAGAAGGGAGTTACATAATATTCTTCTTCTTTCCCATTATTTGTTTGCCGTGTGGTACTAATACTTCGCTGGGAGTATAATAATAAGGAAAGAGACGATAATGATAATGATTGGGGTAATGAAGAGAAGGAATGGATTTGTCTAGGTGCCCGCAGCATCCTCTATCTAAATAATAATAGTAATAAATAAAGAGAAGAGTAGAGAAGAGAAGAGAATATATAATAGAATTAAAAAGTGGTGTACGCATCAGAAATAAAGAAGAAAGAAATATAAAAGAAAGAAAAAGAAATGATACAATAAAGATAATAAAGATAATAATAAAAGGAAAATAAATAAACATGTAAAACCGTATTCATCATGTACAACGTATGTAAAGACAGAAGTAGTCACATGTTTTATTACATATATATATATATATATATATAGATAGATAGATAGATAGCTATATAAGTATATATAAATATAAATAAATATATATAAATATATCCTGCAGGATTGCTGTTGAATTATTTCTCTCTTTTTCTCTTTTTCTTTCTTTCTGCATTTTTTTCTTTTCTAATATTTAGTAGACATACATAGAAACAAAAACAAAGTAGTCATTGTGAGGGATACTGAAGGAGAATAGCAAAATAAAAATAAAAATAAAATGAATGAATGAATGAATGGAATACACACAATAATCCCAAAATAAAGCATCAAGCAAAATAGTACACACAATACAAAAATAAACAAACAAAAAGAAAAAAAGAAACAAAGAAAGAAACACAGAAATATAAATATATATATATATATATACATATATATATATGAGAGACACTCACCCATCTAAACGCAAAAAGAAAAAAAGATTGAAATAATCCCACACGACAATGACGCCAATGCCGCAGATAAGAAAGAAACACAAAAAAAAAATGAACTCAAAATAAAAAAGAAAAAAAGAAGACACCATGAAGTAGCGCTCGCATTATTTATATATAAACATATATATATATATATATATATATATATATATATACAACTCACTAACATTTGGGTTTCTCCATTCAACTCATGGGCTTGTTTGTTTGTTTGTTTGTTTCTTATCCCCATTTTCACGACTGTTCACATTCCTCGATCTCTAAAATAGGGAGATTGAGCAGGTAGAAAACAAAAGCCGAACAAAATAATAATAACAACAATAATCATAATAATAATGAAATACAAGGAACATGGGAGAATAACAATAATAATAAGAGAAACAGCGAAATAAAACAATGCCAAAAAAAAAAGGAGGGAAAATAGTACTATTATTATTACTATTATTATTATTGACTTTGCGAATGAAATAATAATAATAATAATAATAATAATAATAATAATAA